TATTACACATCTTAGATGTTAAATCTTCCACCAATAAAATGTCGTATTAGTCCTAGATTATKGTCATAATGGGCCTTAAAGACCGATGACGTAAGACCTCCCAGCAGGATTRTGTATTGGTATAGGCGATGGGCGTGTCATGCACCACTCGTACCAGACTTTCTGGCGGGTGCACTTGCGCCATAGGTGGACAGTAATGGTTGAGCCTTTCTCGACGTATACTGGAGTCTGGTAAACAACAGGAAAAACTGATCAGGACACCTAGCAAACTAGTGCGTGCTAAAACTTTTTAATGTATTTATGATTCYTTAGAATTGTTTCCCGCTTTGTGTTTCTTAGACTTAGGGTTTAATTCAAGKAATAGAAACTCAATCCAACTCCATCAGTGTCTTATGTATTTCAGTGAGTATCCTAAGGTATTAGCTCTAATAACTAAAAACCTCTAGTGATAGTTACTAATGCCGAAAATCATYGTGAAGTCTTCGGAAATCTTTCGGGATATCTCGGAAAGACTTCGTGAACAASAATTAACTTAATTTACCAGGGAATTTGTCGCATAATTGTATAGTTTTACCTCACGCCRCAGAAGTCAAATCTACGCTCCTGTTACTACATATTGTTTTAATTCCCCTTCTCTTAAACTACTGTTAGTCTGAAATAGGTCGACATACCTGGATAGGAATGTAGAAAGGAAACCAGCTAAACATTCCTTCAGAATGAGTGTCAGGGTGTATACCTAAAACAACAAAGATACAATTAGCCGAGGTCTGTTAAGACAAAAAACGCTACAGAAACGCATCACGGTGAACGGGTCTACGCGTTTTCGTAAAGTCAGTTTTTGTAACTTTCACGCACTTCACTGAATCACGCGCAACGCTAACGCACCACAGTGCACGGGTCTACGCGTTTTCGTAAAGTTCTTTCTAATTTCCCCGCACTTGATTGGATCGAGCGTTACGGAAATGCATCACAGTGTACGGGCCTACGCGTTTTCGTAWTTTTTTCCTACAATTTTCCAGCACTTCATTGCCATCACGCGCTACACAAACGTAACAGAGTGGACGGTACCATCTTCAAAGGTAACCGTCCTTTGCATTAAAGCGATACAGATGTTGACCTTAACAATAATAGATGTCTTGTTATGAATGAGGGTATCTATCACTGAATGCTCAAGCGCTTTAATTCAAAGGCTCTTATACATTTCAAGACACCACTGGGAAATGTAAAATAGAATAGTAAAAAATTGAATCAAAAGAAATGGAAGAAAGGGAGAAACTTACTTATGGTCACATCTTTAAATAGAACAGCATCAAAATATCCAGCGAATCCATGAATCATTGCGCTTGTCTCTACGTCATAGTTTAGCGTTATGTAGCGTGAATTATCGATCAGTTTATCTAAAAAAATAATAATCCATAAAGCCAATGTTGACAGAAATGTTAGAGCATCGGACGAACTTCAAACTCCACCAAACATGTCTGATGCACTTTCCGAAAACATCCAATGAGTGTTAGACCAATAATATCAAATTATGCTCGTTGTTACTGTCGTATTTAATGTGCTGCTGATGATAATGATGTTATTGTTGTTGATGATGGTGTTGATGATGGTGATGCTGCTGATGATACTGTTTTTTCTGTAGCTATTGTTGATGATGATGGTGATGCTGCTGATGATACTGATTTTTTTGTAGTAGTAGTTGTTGTTGTTGCTGAAGCTGCTGTTGTTGTCGTTGTTACTGCTGATGTGCTGTTGTTGTTGATGATAATGGTGATGATGATGATGAAAGTGCTTTTGTCTTTGTTGTAATTGTTGTTGTTGCTGCTGCTGTTGTCGTTGGTACTGCTGATGTTCTGTTGTTGTTGTTGTTGTTGATGATGATATTGATGATGATGATGATGATGATGATATTGATGATGATATTGATGATGATGATGATGATAATGATGATGATAGCGTTGCTCAGTCTTGTTTCAGGTTTGAAATTCTGCCAATGCTTTTCCATAAATCGATCAAATTGCTTTTATTCACAATGTTGTTTTGTATCTTATGTTTTGTGTACCTTTGTTGGGATGAACAAATGTAAAGCAGGTCTGCGGTTCTGCCAAAACGTAAACGTTGTGGAGTCTTACAACGTAAGGAGTCTCGAATGGAGCCTGCAATGAAAGCAGAAGAAATAATGTACAGTATTTAAAAAATGAAAAGAACTGTACAGGCATCGGGATCAWCTGAGGGAGACGGAGAGTTCTAGAGGATTTCGAGCCGTAATGGATGAAAAAATGGATGAAAAAACGAATGCATAAATATAGGAACAGATAAATGGATTGGACAGACGAATGAATCAATGGAGGAATGGATGGATTATGGAAGAACAGATAAATGAAATTGGAAATCATCAGAAAGCCAAACGAAACAAAAGAAGGAAGGTAAGTAATAGGAAGGAACAAATACAGTACAAGAAATATATGGGATGAAAGTACTAAGATTAGCACTAAATACGTATACTAAGAGGGACAACTCCTTACTTGTGGTCCTTTGTTGTCAAGTTTCGTCCCTTGTGATAAGTCATAGTGCAGCTTTGGAGCGCACAAAGGTGACATGTAMGATGTGTATTCACTGGGAATGCTTATTCCGTCATCTTTCAAAAAACGTTGTGCTCCGTCAAGGCATTCAGGTGACAGTTCGTTATCTCCAAACGAACCCAACAACTCGCTAACTAAAATATCAGCCTGGAAAATGATACAAATTTCAATTAAAATTTAACATGGTCAAATAACGTTTTTAATTTATTATTAATCATTAATTTGCTTACCTTTTCTGGAGGTTCGCATTCCCTCATGTCACATGATATGATGGTAACTCTCTCTCCCCATTCCTCCCTCTTTAACGTCTCAAGCCTGAAAGGAATSATGGGAAAAATAACTACAAGTAACGGCGAGGAAAAGCTTCGTTGCGTGACTTACGTGACAATAGCATTGGGGTTTTTCTCCACGGCATAAACACGTGCCTTTCGACCTGATTCTTCACTKGCTGTCAAAGAGGCTCTTACTAATGGACCACGTCCTGCACCCACCACCATTATGACCCTACAAAAAAAATATTGAGTTGTTAATGAAAAAATCTGCGTTTATCCAAACGTTATCAGCTATTTGTTCCGTCATATGTTGTGGCTACTAACGTTACAATTTCATTTTTCTTTTCTTCAGGAACTCGATCAATCAGCGCTTCATAGACTGCCTGATAAAAATGCAACATAGTTAATATAACCATGCAAATAATAAATCATTATTGCTGTAAGCTTACCTTCTGATATTGTGAGTACTTAACAGGATCCCGCTCAAATATCTCGTACGTCTGTGACTCAAGATTATCTGAAAGAGGCTGAATAAAAAATAAACTGAGTTATGGCCACCTTCATTCAAGAAACTTCGCGACCATTTGTTTAAGTTTTACATGACTTGTTGAAAGGTGCAATCTAACTGGTTCAAAACATAAAATGGTGAATATTCTTATTGAGAATCTCAAATGGTTAAAGAACACTAGCTAGCAAATGTATATATGCTACTTTTACAACTAAGTGAAATATTGTCTTACCTGTAAAGGACACTGTAAGTAGTCCTCATAACCCTTTGCAAACTGGCTGACATTATCTAAAGCTGGTTGACTCTAGTAAAAGTTATAGGAAACTCTTGTTAGAGATTCAAAGCATGATAATGATAAAGATACAATAATTATTATCGATTGGTTGATACTGGGTATGATATGAAGGATTATTGKCTCTCTGAKTGTGATATGGAGAATTATTGATTGGGGTTGAGTATGATATGAAAAATTATTGGTTGAAGCTGAGTGTGATATGAAAATGTATTGATTGGGGCTTAGTGTGATATGAAGAATTATTGGTTGGGTACAATATGATTGAGTTCATCAAAGACTCAAGACTTGATCATCATCATCATCATCATCATGTCTTCCCCAGTGGCTGTACCACAGCTGTAGGGCGCTCTTCCTTAAAACTTTCGTCAAGGAATTGCAATCTTCTTCGTCATTATTTTTCTTGCCTGCTGTTTGTTGATGTCAAGAGCAAGCTCGATCATCATATCATATGATAATAATCAAATCTGATATTATCTATGAAAATCTTACCTGATAAAGATGCTCAAGATACTGATAATAAAATCCAATTCCCTAAAATATGATAAACATAGAATAAATATACATGTATCCATCTAGTTTCCATAGTAACATAAAACTACATACAGAAATCCCAGACTTGGCTACAGTACATGCATATAAGCTATTGATGATGTCATGTAGGATTACGATTAAAATTATGTGAAGAAGAGATGTGTGTACCTTGTTTTTATGCTTGGAACAGCCACTCAAAATTAGCTGAACATTCAACTATGGATATAAAGGAAGCATTGAGATTAGTAAGAAAAAATCCCTCAAGAAACAAAGAGCTTATTGCCATTCAGCTACCAACAAACAAAGAATACCTCTTTTGTGTTGATTCTGACAAACATGAAGATATATATGATTCATTTTACCCTGCGAGCAGAGCAATTTTTCCACTATCTACGAAAGTAGAAGGGGGCAGATAAACCCTCTGTTCGCAGGGTAGATTCATTTTTAATGCAAAACTCTCATTTTGAGGAGCACATATTGACTTTACTGGACATAAATTCAATGTACTTAGCACAGTGAAGTATCTTACCTTGAACAACTGCCTAACAAATGCTTGATGAGCTTTAGAAAGAACTGGGAAACCTGTTTCCAAGTAAATACAATGTAAACATTTCTGATCAGCCATAATTCTCTAATAAGCAACAACTAATGCAGTTCTAGGGTACAAATGACATTTTCCWTTTCACAACATCATAACTAACCTTTTCTGTTAGTGAGGAAGATGTCAGTAGGAATGATGGCAGCCTTGATTGGTTCACCACACCATCTTTTGATTTCTGCATCAGACGGCAGCATTTCTGAGATTTCAAGAGCTGGAACAAGAAATCAGTATAGAAAACCAGATAACAATCATGGCAGTAACATTAGGAAAAKAATAAAATGGTAAGCAAATAAATTGAAAGGGATAAAAAGAAAAGAGAAGGGAAATAAAAAGAAATTAAAGATGAGAAATAGGAGAAAAGGGAAAGAAGGGAAATGAAATATGAAAAAAAGATGAAAGAAATAGAACAGTAAGAAAATAAGTATAGCAGATAAGGGAAGAAATAGAAGGGTACAAAAAGGAAATGACAGATGAAAAAGAAAAGAAAGAAATTTCCCTCTTGAAATTTCCCTCTTAACAAAGGGAAGGAAACAAAAGAAATGGGAAAGATTACTGATATCACTTCCATTACCAGTACATTACCTAGTCCAGCTTTTCTATTGTTGYTACAGACACATCTAAAATTATTCCACCTATAAAAATTTGATTAGAAATCTCAGGTTAAATGCACTTAAAACATGATTGATTTTGTCAATATAGGGTGATTTTTTTCCAACCATGAAAGAATATCACTGAGGCTCTTAGCTACAGTAGCAGTAGACTCCAAGCTGTTATGGCATGAAGAGAACCRATGATAAAATGATGGGACTTGAAGCTTATTATTCTCTTTTGTTCTTAGTGGAAACTAGATTGCGATTTTCTTTTTACAATCAGAGGAAAACCACTCCAACATTGCTGACAAGATTAATTATCAATATGTATACTTATCAGTAAKCCAGACATGATACTTTAAGAGAAATAATGGTATCTCAGACTACTAATTATGTACCCTGCAAGCAGAGTGTATTTCTTTACCTCAATAAAAGCGAATTTTTATTGAGGTAAGGAAATACACTCTGCTCGCAGGGTACTAATTATGGTACTCAATATCTTACTTGACACTCAGTTAATATGGATAGATTTCTCATCAAACTGGATCTTACCATTCCCAAGTATCCTGTTCTTTGGTTTTCTCTTTGCTGATATCCATCTATGTTTAGAGGTTATTGTTACATGTATGAATGACATGGAGTGTTACATACTCAACACAACGGGAGCACATGCAGCCATTTACRMCACAGGAATCCCATGTATWGCACAGGTATCCCAATATCCTATGTATGCTCAATTGAAATTCATGAATGCTATTGTAATTTAGGTTAAAAGTAATACATCACATCACCTGTTCATCTTCTTCAAACAAGCTTTTGTCATACAAATCTGCTGGTGAAACCATTGGAACTTTTATCCATAACTAGAAAACAAAACAATTTATGAGTTAATTCAAAAGAATTCCATATTCTTCCATCCATTCATCCAATAATTTGATCAATGATTYATTGTATTATATCATAATTCAGTTATTCAAATCACAACCAAAGAGTCATGTGAGAAGATGCCTGGGAGAAGAAGGAAAACAGGAAGATTGATGASAACCTGGCTTGGAAATTGCCAAATGGCAATCATAGGACAAGGCAAGATCTATTGCATCAAATAGTGGAATCATCCCATGGAGGAGCCATCTTGCGGAGGACTCATGGGTTACTAGGCATGAAGAGAGATTCAAGTATTTGTCAACCCAATACTTTTCCATACCTGCTGTACATGTGAGTTAATGAGGATATCGTTAACAAAATGTGAAAGATTRCTGCAGTCATAGCTATTAATGCTAATCATGACGGACGGTAGRCCAAGATGAATGGCATAATTGATTTCTTGTGTCAAAGCCTATAATAAAAAAACACAATGAGTTGTAGAGATTGACATTAACCATTTGAAAATGAATTTTTTAAATGTATTGTAAAACTATTTACCTTTTCAGAGTTTTTGCGCACAATGTCATCAGTAGCATCAAGATTGATCCATGGTGAAATTTTACCAACAACTAAACTTCCCCAATCTGAAAACCATCAAAATATTACACACAAGTACAATGTTTTGAAAAGTAATTTATTTTTTTAACAACCTTTAAAATTAGTTCAACTGGCTTAAGGTCAGTTAAGGTCACACTTGGTTGAAGAGAGACAGTAAGATATTGACCTAAATACAGTAGATTTGTCTAGTTTGGGATCATTGTAGTTATAAAGTGCCTGTTACCCWACAAACCAGGCCATTGTCTCGATCTTTATGGGGCTTTCTTTACCTTGACTGTTTAAAACAAGATCAGCCCGTGCAAATGCCTTGGTACGATCAGCCGGAGGATCAATAAACTCTCTTTTATACCGTGGGTGACATATTGGGGCACAAATGAAGTCAAACCTGCAGTAAAGATGAATAATTATCAATCAATTCACCCTATCATTCAGTAGATATATACTCAAAACAGAGGCAACAACAGAATAGAAAAATAAGAATACGATCTGGATATATTCATTTTATACCTCTGCAACTTAAGCTTAAGTAAGTAAGCTTATGTTTGTAAGTTATAAGTAAGTTAACTTATCTCAAAATTTTATAGTTTTAGAACGAAAATTTTGCTCGTTTAAAAATTATTCGATTATTATCAATCCATTCATAATGACAGGTTTTCATCATAAGTAATCATCATAAGTGATTAAATGTGCTGAAATCCAGAAAACTAAACGCATAAACATGTCAGATTATAGAACACGTGMAGACATCTGTTTGACAGCAATTACAAATAWGCTCAAACAAATTCAGAAAGATACACCAAAATAACAAAAATACAGGTAGAAAACTAAAGCAAATTATCAAGCTATCAATGATCTTTTTACCCGCTTTGTGACGCTGAGTTAAGAGCAACAACCAAGTCAGGAATACAATTATAATCGCGACCACAAGAAACTCTTCCACTGTCGGCCATCTTGAATTTGGAAGAACGAGAAAGCCTGGGTAACAAGACCGGGAAATACTGGGGCGGCGCGCGGGGTTTTCCGCGCACATTGTCAAAAACATTCCAGAGTTTTATCATATTTTCGTATTATATGGCTTTTTCCATCGAAAAAGGATTTACAGTCGTCTTAAACAGATGGAGATTAACATATTCTCATTCATATTCAGGTTGCCAATGTTAGTAATATCGGGTTTTTTCAAAAAAWCAACAAATGGGTTTCCTGTGGTTTTGAGTTATATCACAAGATGGCGGCAAGACGGTCGGTTTGGCGAACGATTTGCTCACCAATTATCCTTCGTCAAAGATATTTGATCACTTCTTGGAGAGGTTTTTCGGATAAAGATACAACCCAAGATTCTAATGTTTCATGTTTTGATGAAAAACTTCTTGAAATTTTGGTTTGTCCATTAACCAAAAGACCTCTGAGGTAAAGTGTCATTGATTGATCAAAAGACGTGTTTTTGAGTTTGACTTCCCTAAAACAGATGTTTCTGTTTGCCCTTAAGGCCGATATTAGCGGCAACAATATTTATTAAAAAGGCAGGATAAGATCAATGATCGCATAAAGGCCTTATTCAAAGAGTAATATAAACCATTTGTCTTTGATTAATTGAAAAACTGAGATGGTGTCACTCGGCGTCCGATCCATTCTGAAATCTCCAATATACTTTTGTGAGAGATTGATGGCATATAGTACAATAAAATGAGATCAGATAAAGCCTGCAGCCTCAGGAAAGGTGTATAATATATAATTAATTGCTTTTAGTATGATGCGAATCATTCAAATATGTCAAATATGATGCATTTTAAAATGTGGTCACTGTCTTTGACAAAGATAAGACATCAAGGTTTAGTAAAAAGGAAATATAAGCTATATTTTTTTTAAAAAAAGAATGGTCTAGACTATAGAATACATGCAGGGATCAACAATCAGTTTGCATTATCATTCATTAAGTACATCCAGACTTCCACACCAAATTGCATTRAGGCACTACATTATTATTGATTTCTTTTTTTGTAAGTCCCAGTCAAATGAGAACTTCTTGACAGCCAAATAAAAACACTGTCATCCAATCCTAAACATTTTTGGGTCATCAAACAAACACCTTCAAACTCCATCCAATATCCTTGTGCTCCATACAACAACTTCCAACGAATGTCATTGAACAAGGTGGCTAAATTATAAAATGTTGAATGACATTTTTAGGCCATCATTTACTTGTTCAAAGAATCATAACCAACCACAATACAGTGCGCGCTCGTATTATTGTTTACATATGTTTAAATGCGTTAAGCATACAATAAATTATAGATTGATAGTACCTGTGAGGTACTTAGTTAAAGGTATTTCTGCCCAAACTGAAAGGACAGAAGACGATTCGTGCTCACTTTAAAAAATCCTATGAATCCRCCATTTTCGTGTCCACCTCAAATGGCGCTTTGGCTCTGGTTGGTTATGATTCTTTAAGTAAAGGTGTAGCAGTCTATCCCCTGGTACATTTTTAACAATAAGTAGTAAAAGTTTTTTATTATCAATTGTAGATTTGATGCTGCATCCAATCAGTTGATTTCTGATGAGATAGGCGTGGCATATCCTGTGGTTGATGGTGTGCCAAATTTGATACCTAGCGATGGTCATCTTATAAAGTCAGCCAGTAATAAAGACAATTGAAGTATGAGCAGCTGTGATCAAAAGGTACCAATGTTCATTTCTAATGTGGTTTAGACATAATTTTCAATAAATAAACTAAATACTCTGTTATCTGTGTTGCACGGGTTCAATTCTTGGACAAATCAGCACATGTGAGTTTGTAAAGCATAAGGCCAGTTGTATGAAGGGTGGGTAATATCATCCACCCCATAGATTTTGTCTGGATTTGTCAATGGTGAATAGCAACAACTGGTCCCTGTTTTATACTTTGTGCTACATGTATTTTACTGAACCTATTATAATCAATCATTTGTGTCAAACAAATTACAATTTTAGCTTCAACTTTGATTTCATTAGTTCACTAATTTGCATCATAAAACAAAATGGTTCATTTTCATGGATTTGTTTTGTGATGTAAATTGGTGAACTAGTGCTGGATGGACCCACCAGTGGGTCAAACTAAAATAATAAATATCAAAAGAATAACATTATGATCACATTATGCCTGTATGATTTACTGTAGCATGAAGTAATATGAACCAGTGTCAATTTGCAAAATCATGAACCTGTACATGTGAGTCTGTTCTGTCAGATTTAAAAGATTCAAATGTTGCTCTGTCAATGAGACCAATAATATTTGATTAAGAATGACAATATGAACCAAACCTATTGGTGTGATAATAATGTTGGGTATCATAAGACTATCTAATGACAAGCAGCTGGCTTTTAGCATTTAAAGTGGTTTTATTGATGGGACTGGATTAWTATGAGCAGGCTTTTTCCTTTTTTWAATGAYGAATAGCTTATAAATTGAGTTTATAAGGTATTCTTTTGCCGGGGCTCTCTTTTGCTAGTTATTAGATTCCCTTTGAGGAGTTTTTCTTAGGTACATGTATAAACCCAATTCCCTGCACTTAGAGGGCTTAGTAGTATGACACAGAAGAAAACACTGAAATAGGATACTACTAAAGATATCCATTTCATAGATTTGTGTCCTCATTCTAGAAGCATAAATTTTAAATACTCTTGATATAGTGAAATTCAAGCTCTTTCAATTTTAATCCAGTTTTTACAGAAACTGACAATATGAAAATATATATATGATGATATTGTGATCTCATTTACATTTTTTGAAGTGACTGTGATATATATTAATAATAATTATATTTAATTCTTGGMATATGTTATATACACATGAATGCTACCATGAATTTATACAAAAGAAATAATTTTTTTTTTTTCTAAAGTGATATTGAAATAACAAGAAAGTGTGATGTAATGATGAAATTATCAAAAAAGACAATATTGCGTATGTGATGGTGAACAAAAATATCTAATAATCTTGAAAGAAATTTCAGATGATATGGTTTATATCTCATCTTAAACATATATATGCACTATTACAAGGCTAGTATTATTTGATGACGTCYGTGATATTGTAGACAACTGTCCACCTAACAATTCTAATGTAATCAGATCACACTGAATCTGTCTCTAATATATTGTCCAAGTGGGCTATATAGTTGATCGCATATCTCAATATCTTTATCTTTGGTAACTTAGTGTCACACTGGTACCCAGGAATCAGCTGACGCAGACTTTGATAGGCACTGTTTAGCTGAGCCACCCTGCGTCTTTCATGTTCRTTAGCAAGAAGTCGATTTAATTTAGTTCTTTGACGTGAGATATTTTTTGCATCTGAATAATCATCYCTGCTATCTTTTTTGAGCTTCATTGATGTACAATCTTTCTCACAAGAGCGYGTTTTAGATGGAGTATACCGTGTGTTGTAATGTCGCTTACCATTTTGAGAGTCACTGCTATTTTGTTGATTTGTTTTGATAAATTTCCTGCTGTCTTTGTAATCAAATCCATTGTTATAACAATCTTCAGGTGAGGATCTTGGRTCACTATCTTCATTATTCTCATAATGTTTAGTTCTTTTACCAGACTCATTGATCCATTGCTCTACACTCYCATTTTCTGGTGACAAATCTTKAAYATGTCTTTCTCCAGTAAGCCTGTCTTCTTGTACAATTTCAACTAAGTGATGTTCATTATCTAATTTACATTTCCCTTCAACAATTTCTGTCTTGATGACTTTACTGACAAACAGCACCTCATCTTCGCGTTTCCTCTTTTTATTATSAGATTCTCTGCTGGAGGTTTTTTCTTGTTCATTGTTAGTCAGATCAGGGCTTTTATCTTTATTGCATTGAGTCTCAATTCCATCTGTTTTGTTATCTCTTTTTTCGTTTTCATCATTTTTACTCAGGTTATTATTTTGATCCTTATCTTTGTGAGGACTCCTTACTGTTTGATCTTTTTCCTGGTTGTTAACTATGACTTCAACATGATTCTTCAATCTTGAGTCCTTTGAAAAATTCCTCACACACTCTATGCAATGACAAAGCTGTGGATATTGCGGTTGCATGGCTGGCATGCTTTTACATGTCACMCCATTGCAACATCCAGGTGATTTTATTGACAGCTCCTTATCATGCGGTCTAAGCACCGACGCTGCTGTCTGTTCRAACCTCAGACTTAAACAGCTCTGACAGTTACAGCTCAAAGATGCTGCCCTCTGCTGACAGAACAAGCAGAAACACATGCCGGTAAATCTTGGCGAGACAGAAATAGGGGCGTAAGTAATGCAGCCATTGGTTGGTGGTAGGATGTTTCCATGGTGACACAAATAACATGGGCCATGGTTTCCATGGTGACCTGATATACAGGATTTTGCTTGTAGATATTGAGGTAGTGGTGGGGGGTACTCAAGGAACAGTTTCTTTGGTGTGTGGTTTTCTTGGCACCTGTAGTTTATTGGGATCCCTGTGGTGGCGCATGCCAGCTCCTTACCTGAAAAATTAATTTAAAAAATATTCCATCAATTAAAATTAAGTAAATTTTTACATCAGTTTGAATATGGAGTACAAGTAGAATATGGAGTAAGTTGTTCAGGAATAATGTCTGTCGTTTCAGAAACAAACCTAATCAATAAACAAAAATTGAACAATATTTGTCTTTCTCTTTCGTACTTTTGTTTCACTTTTTCGTTCAGAAATTAAAACACGTTCGTCTTGTCTGCCAGTTTGAGAATTTCAATGTTAATTAAAAATTAAAAGTACAAAAATCGCCGAGAAAAATTATCAAGGCATTGTAATTAAATAACATGAGTAGGATAAGATAAGTTCATTCTCGACATCAAAACATTTCTGTTGCTGTTAATTGTCCCTTAATCACTCACGAAAATCCATTTTTCAAAATACAATTCCTTCCTCCAGATTTCTTTTGAGTCCATTCGCTCTCTCTTTCCCCACGTCAAACAAACTTATTTAGCTTCAATCTGAGATGAATTGTAATCTACTTATTGCCGTGAAGTATTTCCTTTCTTCGACAGATGTTGTCGTACAATAACATTCAAGTCATTGCCATTTATAGGGTTAAGTAACAGAGTGACAGTCCCCTTTCAATTTGTTGTGAAGGCTGTTCAAAAACAAAGTGGATTGTGACTTCTGATATAAAGTGCCATTTACCATTCTCGCTCGATGTACTTTGAAAGCGCACTTAGTTTTGTTGTAATAAAACTTGATTACTTCGGGTGAACACGAAAAACTTTTTGCGTGCCCTCTTGACAAATTTCCTATACATCCAATTTCGTGTCCCAACTTGACGTTTTCGTGAAATGTCTGAAAGGCCAGTTTAGTAAACAATTCCAGTTCAAATGCTAGAGGGCCTTGTAAGAAAGAATTGTTGTTTTCTCTCTCTTTTGGAAATTCTGAATTCAATTTTTGATGGATAAAAAGCTTATAGTTAAATTATGAAGTATATTTTTTTCTCAAGAGTCGTTTGAATTTATTTTTCACATCCCAGAATATTAAAAGAAACACTTGGCTTTGCAAAAAGTCTAGGGCAAACCATTTTTAAATTGCAAACTAACGAGCTCGCAGTCATGTTGTCGCAAAATAACGCGTAAACAGCATCTCGTAGCTTTGCGAATATTACACTTACACAAAAAAATTCAATATTCAAGATGAATACCTTTTTGGCGTTGGAAAAGMCTCGTTGCGTAAACTAATCGATTCGTTGTATCCTTRACAGGTTCACTTTCAGATACTTTCATCTTTCTTTCTCTTTTCGCGCAGTGAGCGAGGAAAAACTAGGAGTTTCACGGCCGGAGTTTTGTTGAAACACAAGCGTATATAGTTTCCGTACAATCTGATGTGGATTTTGCCCAGCTGCTCGGCTAGCCGTTGTTAATGAGGAGTTGCGAGTTCAGAAGTGCCAAATGAGAGTCACAGTTGGATGGTATATATGATCTAAAATGCTCAAATCATATKCCTGACACGAGTAGTCAAACTCCTCTCTTGTGAATAATTGATTTTCATGGAACATTTGAATAAAGTGACCGRAGTGCGATACTATCAGCACAAACTGTGCCGTAATTATCCAAATGAGCAGGCCAACAAACAATTAGATGGGGTTTGAATGAAGGCAGAACGCACAGCTGTTCAGTCTGTTAGAGTGGTTTTCGGACTCCCTTTGTTCCGACTGACAAACACAAAAAGATATCACAAAGGATTCGTTCCTTGTGTGCGAGGAGCTATATCCTACAAGATTCAAAATCCTCAGTGTTTTTTTGTTCTCAAAGAGAACTTCCTGAACGCAGCACAACGCCGACTACATCGTCTACCATGGCACCATTTCTGACCGTGTTTTTTCTTCCTTTAGCCATGAAAATTTATGCATTGCCAAAAATTATCCTGAATAATTCATCTAGCTAGATAAAAAAAAACTACCCCCACTTAGTAAATGCATCACTTCAAATGTTAAAAAGCAATCTTGTGATAAAACCCTTAGGCTGAATTGAGCTTTACTTAAAACCTTGTCTAAGGCGAAGAAGTTGACAGTTTAAAACACTCCCAGTAGCTTGGTGTATGTACAAGACCCTTTAATCAGAAACAGCATTGGTTGTTCAATATTGTAAATGTAAAATAATACTTGTGAGTGGAGGCTTATATGAATATACCAGCTGTTAAGGCAGTGAATAAGATGACAAGCTTATGATTCGGTAGATTTGGTTTTGAATGTTAGACGTTTCAAAGACAGCTTGTGTGGCCGCGTGATATCAATTTAGTCTCATTTTTCTTTTTCAATTATTTTTCGACCGTTTGGCTGTCAACACAGGTGGTAGCCGTGCACAAAGCGCAAGCAAAAATAGGTTCATCTGTAAATACTCAAAGGCGAATACAATCGCATTGTTCTCGCTCGTAAAAACCTTTAGGGAACGAGATTAAGAGGAGAATAATAGCTTAGGAAGTATTGCCCACTGCCTCAGTATATTTTATGAATATTGAATCGAAGAGAGTTTAAAATAACACATGTTCTAGTAACATGGCCGATAGCTCTTTTAAGAGAAACGTTATCGACAATATCTCAATGCCAAGGCCYCCCTCTGAGGTTGTTTTATTGCCTTGAAAAAAATTACAGAAAACCAAGCTTATAAGAAAACACCTAAACACACACTACTCCCACATTATATCCTGGAGCAAGATAACAATTAATTTAACACTAGGAATGAATGATTGACCAAGACATCCATCTGGGTTCGTGTTTAGAAAGAAAAAGATCATTAAATTGGGTTTTCATAACTTGCAACCAATAAATCAAGACTTCATTTCGCGATTAYTTCCCCTAAAAGGACTGAAGGGCCTTTACGGCATTTGGTATATAGTGTCACATTAAGTAATAGGCTGATTATGTTTAAAAAATGGGAGAAAATTCCTTGTAGCAAGGCGAGAAAAAAAGTCATTCTGGTCGTCAAAATTATTCAAATCTTCAGAGCTTGTTTCACTGTTTGAAAGACTTAAAACTTTGCGTTTTTCGTGTGTAATGTAGAGATTTGGGATTTGAGTGATTGCCTTTTGAAAACGGTTTAATCTATGAGTTTTTAGAGAACATTTTCAAAAAAGAAAAGTAAAAAGCTCTTAGCTATTAAAAATAGTTATTCAAGAGGTTTATATTCGCGTTGCCAGCTGTGAAARCCTTTTCTGATAATGGAGATAAAACGGCAGAAAAAAAMTCTTCCGCCTAAAAGCACTAATGAAARTATCCCACCAAGAAAAGCTTTAATCATAAAACAATGATAACCCAAAAAAACTTTCAAATTTGAACTTAAWAATAAACGTTCCCACTGGAAAACAGATMWTATAGCTTTAGTCCACATAAAAACCTTGYAGTTTGAGGTTAATATGCCTTAGAAGGGACTAATAACTTCGTAAATAACGAGACAATAGCCTCAAGGTTCAAAAACTCCAGGTGAAACGTAAAACAAGTTAAAATATAAGACGACTTTGCCTCAAGCCTATTTTGGCATGTCAAAAAACAACTTAAATGCGCAAGAGGTGTCATACAACAGAATATATTCATTATTTTCTGAGAACKTTCAACTGGCAAATAAACCCAACGCAAACAGCTTTCTGGTGAGCAGAAAATATTTACTGAAAATGCAATTTGCATGTAAACATCCTCTTGTTGGCCTAGTTAAGTCTGTTCTCCTGGTCGTAGCTAACTTTAACTATGTCCTGATACAAATGGCACTATATAACTAGTCATAGCCTTTTTCGTTTCAATCTTAAACTGACTTTCCAGGTGACTTTAAAATAAMTCTGCAAATAGAATTGGCGAGCCGCAATAATCTAAAGAACAACATGGCCGAATTAACCTAAAAATATGTGATGGAAAGGCAACTTAATATCGCTCTGGTTTTCCCGTTGAGTTTTATAAAAACTTGYAGTCATTTCTCGTGATGTAAATATAGCGCAGGGTAAAGAATATATGCTTTGCAGTATCTGCTAGAGTAMAACAATTTTTCGCCTCGTAATATGGCTGAACACTGGCAAAAGCTTCTACTTTACAATTACTGAAAAATCCCAAAAAGCACCATAGTGCTACAAGAGAATTAAAACGTCACTGAATGCAAAAAAGACAATAATCTGACAATCTGAAGCAATATTACTCATGAAAAAAATAACTTAAGATTGGTTTTTACTCAAATGAACTTCTCACAGTGAGAATTGTCAATCATGACCTTGCAAGCTGTAATCGATCTTTGACAGCTAAGCCACCATTGCCAGCGTTTGTCGATTTGCGCGCGAAACTTGTAGCTCCCAATGGCCATTAGATGCAAGATGTTCAAAGTTTGCTAAAAGCCTTCTAAATAGAAAGCAACCTTCTGGTGCATTGGGCTCTTGAAGTTTCAATTAAACTTCTGATGTTGTTGATAAGATGGAAATGTTCTAAGTCTGATGTTGATATGTCCTGCTCTTCCTCTTCAATTACAGTGTTATCCGTTAAAACATACAGGATGTCATCATTACAGACGACGATAGCATCGGTCACTGCACGTTATCGATCCTTATAAAATATAATAATRCCAGTCAATCAATACCCGACCCACCGACCACCGGAGAAACGGAATAACCGGGGAAAATCCTATAATATAACCAGGCGTACAAATAAATTAGAGAAGTATAGAGGAAGGGCATGCATTTGTGWTGAACAGTTCCACTTCGGCAATGTATTCCTATACTCAGACMAATAATCTYGATAACAAACTAGCTCCAAGAAAACACACCGACCACCGGGGAGACGAAACCCACCGGGAAAACRCTGACATAACAGGTGTGGCACTGATTTGGATGGAAAATTAAAACACAATGAAAACGCGAACATTTATTCGCAAGCAGTTCCTCGGTGGCCCTGCTTTTGTACTTAAACTAACAATCTGGACAATAAATAATTTTTGACCAGGGAACGACCGACCATCGGGGAAAYTCATCTACCCGAGAAGCACTGGTAATTGTCATAAACAGGTGCACAAATTAAGAAAAAAAAAACAGAAAACGCAAGCTTTCGTAAGTTAACGTTCGTTATATAAACTGCTTCACGTAGGGTTTGTTCTGACTTGCTCTCGCTCATAGAATTATCAATGCTAGCTTCAAGCGCAAAAGCGAACGGAAGTCAATGGAAAGCGCTGTTTTTCTTACGTCGACATACGTTTTTATGCGTATTGCGTAGARTTTGCTCTAAACAGCGTTGCCCTTGCGCTTTTGTCGGTGCTTGCGGYAGCGTACGAAGAATTTTCTTTCCTTCTTGCGTCGAATTACGCGAACACTTCCTGTCTGTTCTTACTTCTGTTGCGCTTACGTTTGCGCAAGTGCTTCCGTATTCTTGACTGGCGTTTGACCACCATGATTAAAATTTACTTTTTGGTAATCACAAAGTAGGGAGTAATTTCATCACTTTAATTCGGATGTTTTGAAGCAAAAATAACAAAGTGATTTTTCAGCGTAGTATTGTCAATCCAAATTTGTGCTCTACTTGCCCTAAGTTATCATCAAACATGGCGACCGTATCCGTCAAAATGTCTATCCAAAAATAGACGACAATAATGCTGTCTTCAGTGTATGCATTTGATGCCCGAACAAATCCATGGGAATAATATTGTAAATCAGTTTGCCATCAAAATACTCAATTCTGGCCTTTGAGGCACTAAGCATTTTGATTGATAAATTAAGAAGGTTAAAAAGACTACAGCAGAAAGCTGTTATCGCATCTCCACAGACTGATCAAGGAAATACCGACAAAAAAATCCACGTGAAGTAGACATTAAACAAAAGCCCCGKTCTGTCATAAACCGTTGTGCAGCGAGCGTGGGAAGAGATATTCGTAGTTTGTATATGAATGATTGAACGAATTGGTTACCTTATCATAAATAGATAAAAACTATTTTAATAGTTTCATGCATGTAGACTCTAAATGCTCTCAGTTTCGATTGTAGTATAGATTAAGCATGCAATGGGTTATATTGTTGTTCATAATATTGAATAATTTGAGCTTTACAATTTTAATAACATAGCTCAGTCGAATTTTGTTTGAGAACTGAATACGTACTAAGGTCTTTAGTAGCGACGCAAAAGCAAGCGCAACACTAAGTCTTCGTAGTRAAAATCGCCCTACGAAGTGTTTAAGCAAGCACAAAAGCAAAGCCTAAGATATCAAATTTTGTCTATTTTTTATGTTTAGTTGAGGGAGACTGGTCTCCTTTACTAACTGTGCTTTTTCTTGTAACTCCTCGTGCGCTTGCGCTTACAACACTAGAGCAACTTCGTACGCTTGCAGTAATAGACAAAGGCGGATCCAGGGGAGGTGCCCCTTTTTTGGACGTATTTTTTTCTATATCAAGAACGTTTTTTCTGCTGTTTATACTCCTGTTGTACTTTAATCGAGAAAACGAGCAGCATATACAACWTGTGTCTGCCACTATGCTGCTTAACAATCTATTTGAGTAGTGTAGTYAAAGATACGTTGCAATAAAAGTCAATTTGCTTCCCGGTCAAATTGTGCATAATTTTCTCTTGCTTTAGACAATACATAGCTAACAAAAATGATCAGTTCCACCTACTTAGTTTTTAGCTATAAATTACTGATATGACAAAGCACCCCCCTTATAAAATACTGGATCCGTCCCTGATAGAACTTAATATTGTGTACTACTATACAGAATCTCTTTCACGATCAAATGAAACCAACCCTTGTGTCTTCACTTAAAAGTGGAGATAATGCAAACGCCGTCCAGATAAATATATCTTATTTCCTTTAGATTTATTGGATGAGAAAGTTGGAAAAGCTCGATTTGGAACTGTATTGGAATTTACACTGCATCGACTACTGGGCCAATAAAAAATCACTGCCTACCAAAATGATATAAATACGTCGTCCAAAACAAAAGTACTAAGATCCCTACCAAAAAGCACTAT